TATTGGACTGATGGTTTAAATTGTGGTAGAACTTACTCTAAAATTGTCCACTTATTTGGGCGAAAACTAGGCACTTTACAGCTCCAAAGAAGGTTACTCCCGTCTCCCTACGTTTTGAGATTTACGCCTCTCTGCCTCCTCTCAGCGGTGTGCAGTCCAGACAGCTGGTCACCCAACATCTGTTGCATCCACCCCCCAAGGAGACCTGAGGAAGGTGTGGTGCCATTCCATCATCATTATTTTGAATCTGGCTGAATTTCCTCAACTGATGAGTTATCACAAGAATGTGAAAGGAGGTCAGGACCAAGCCGAGGATGACAACAAACTAAGCACTTCGCTTAGCAGGATTGTAAGTAATATTAAGATTTTCGGTGCAACATCTGTCGTTGACCGCGCGAATTACGATTGTGTGTATCTTCACGGGGGGTCAGAAAAGCACGCTTAAAAGGCTGTGGATTTCAATACAAACCTCGCTCGAAACGAAGTGATTGCTATTCTTCACCTGCAGTCACTCATTCCACAAGGACTATTTCCCGAAGGGCAATGAAGCAGCAACTTTCCCCACACATGAGTAGTAAAACGGTGGTTCCAAGAAGCTCAAACTTTTCCTGATTTAAATAGCTCAACTAGAATAAAATGGACGAGTTTTTTTGGTGTAGACACTTTAAAAGGAAAAGAATTCTGCAACTCACAACCTTCTTCAATCAAAATGGGAAGAAGTCAAATTAATAACTATTTTTATTCTACTTCTTTAAAACTGAAAGAAAAAGACCTTTTGTGGACTGATGAGGACCAGTTGTGAAGACAAATAAAAAGGCTTCACTTATTTTCGATGAGATATTTGACCAGATCAAGAAACTCCTTGTCGTCCAATTCACCGTCACGATTTGCATCGACACGACGAAAGATGGCACAAAGCTCCTCATCATCAATGTCGTAGTCGGACGCCTCTAGAAGGCGTTTTATCTCCACCAAACTCAACTTTCCCGACTGGTCCACATCGGCTAGTTTGAAGAGATCTCGCGCTCCTTTGGACCTTTCCAAAATGAATAAATAAGTAGAAGTGAAATGGCCAGAACAGTAAACCAATGACCGTAAAACTAACAAAGGCCATTATACTCTTTAATTTTTGACAAATAAAAAGTGGAAAGTTGATTTGCTAGTTGTCTGCACGGGTGCTGAGTATTAGCGGTCACACGTGACGAGATCTTGTCAGTTTTGAATGAACGGGTTCACTTTGATCTTGCAGTTCCGAAGACCCCAAAGATGGTGCGGTCGTTTGCCGAAGTGGTCAAGCATGGAGCCGTTAAGCGTGGCTTTGAGAAGTGCCGCATCCGTTCACTTCCTCAGAGGACAAAATGATCTCCCACTCATCCTTTATTAACTACCTATTCCATGCTCGCAAGGCATGCATCAAATCATCCTAAGCGACTCCGCTTCCTCAAATCCCACATTCCTAACCCTCAGACCCGATGTTAA